TTTTTTTTTGGCGAAAGTCGAAACTAGTTTCGACTTTCGTCTGTGGCGAAACTCTTAGGTTTCGCCTGCCAACACTACTTTAGAGTAAATATGTTTTAAGTAATAAACTAAGCATTCGTCGCTATAGTAATCTTACCTGAATGATACTCCAGTTCGGTTATATAGCCAAGCGAGTTCATTCTAAGTGGGAAGCCAATAAAGACCCCGTAAAACATAAATCTCTGTGTCTAACAATAAATAAAATAAAATAAAGTTACTACTATTTATTACACCATTCTCCTCATTTGTTAATTATCGTTGTTGACTTGTGTCACAGGTTAACCAGTTATATACTCATGATAGTTACAACGTATGTACATGCGTTTTTGTAATCAATTTTACCTTTCGAAATGACAAACTTACCGACCGAATGCTTTTTCAAAATATTTAATCATTTTCAAGATGATCATAAAAGCTTATATTCATGTCTCCTTGTAGACCGTCAGTGGTGTAGAAATATTGTACCAATATTGTGGAGCAAAATATCAAATAAATTAAATAATAGAAAACTTATAAATACATGTATCTTAACATTAAATGCAGAAGAACAAGCATCCTTAATCCCTCTTAACATTTTCCTTCCAAACAATCCAAAACCATTATTTAAATATACAAGTTATACAAAGTCTATTGGATCTTTTTTAAATGATGGTGTTATTAATTGGTTTGAATATAATAATTTAGAAATTCCGAATGATTTTTTATCATTATTACGCAATTCTATATCAGCATCTTCACCTATAAATGCTATTAAATGTTCTTTAATTGCAATGTTTCTACGAACAAATAAGAAGCTGAAGCATTTACAAATCTCTGGAAATATTTATAATAATCATGATCTTTTATTAAAACATCTTTGTAGAAATAATTTGGTTACTTCTTTATCTCTTTTTCAAAATTGGGTCGATTCCGAAGAAATAACAGAGATTCTATGTAAGAATACTACTTTAACTTCTTTAAATCTTAGTGGTAATAAGATTGATATTGAAGAAGCAAAAGCGGTGGCAAAAGCACTTCATATAAACACTACTTTGGCTTTTTTAAATCTTTCTTCTAAAAGCATCAATTCTAAAGAAGGAGAAATATTAGCAGCGGGACTTTGCAGGAACACTGCCTTAACTTCTTTAAACCTTTGTAATAACAATATTAATGATGAGAGTGGGAAAGCATTAGCAGAGTTACTTTGCAAGAACGCTACCTTAGCTTATTTAAATATTAGCTTTAATAAGATTGGTGATAAAGGAGTAAATGCATTAGCAAAAGCACTTCATATAAACGCTACTTTAACTTCTTTATGTCTTTCATGTAATAGAATCAGTTCTGAAGGAGCAAAATCATTAGCAGAGGCACTTTGCAAGAACAATGCCTTAACTTCTTTAAATCTTAGCTTTAATATGATCGGTATTGAAGGCGGGAAAGCATTAGCAAAATCACTTTATATAAATAATACTTTAACTTCCTTGTATCTTGATGGTAATAATATTGGAAATGGAGGAGGGAAAGCATTTGCTGAAGTTCTTTATTTTAACTCTACTTTAACTTCTTTATATCTTATCGGTAATAATATTGGAATTGAAGGTAGAAAAGCATTAGAAGAGGTATATCATGAAAATATTACTTTATTCTGCTTAGATCTTTATTGAACCAAATTATTTACGATGAGATCATACTGGAAAAACTCTTTTGAGTATGATCCGCTTTTTTTTCGAAAACTTGCATCCTTTATTAAGATGAATAATATTATGTAATACATGTATAATGCAGTAATAAAGATGATATTGATATATTTATAATAAAGATTTAATGAAAAGTTTACAAAAATTGGGTTGTAAGTTTATTTTTATTATAGAAAAGCTTGCAAATTATCACCGGAAATTTATTTATCTCGGTCCACAAACGCTTTTGTACAATGAAAAAAAGGTAACAAAAAGTAAAAAAAGAAGTGCATTCTCAAAATAGAAGCCATTGTTGTAGTTGGGGGGGAGCCTTCCTTATACGTTGCCGGTTTTAGCACAGCACTACAAGCACAGACGTGGCCCCAATTTAGCCACGGACTAATTGACGGGGCTGGTCCGGGGTAGTCTCAATTACTGGATTACTGGTAGGCCGTCATAGGTCACGTGCCAAATACTAGGAGTCGCCGGTCTCTAAGTAACAGTTTGGGTGATAGGGGGGTCAAATGCCAGGCTACACTATGCAAGAATATCGCTTATCGCTTTGCCACTGGTAGGGTTTCAATTTATACTATCTACTTATTAATTTAGCGGAATGAATTCTTTATTTATTGGGCATATGCCCTATTTATACAAATTTTAGAGGTTGGGTCTCAAACCCCCTGCTGGGGTTTCGGACCCGTACCTGGGGTTAGGAACCCTAGATTAGGGTCTTGAACCCGATATTGGGGTTTAGAACCCTATTACTACATCATGCTAACTACAAATTACACAATGCATAGTTTTGTACCTTATTTTGGGGTTTCGAACCCTATTACTATGCTATGCTAACTTATTTATGCAGACTGTTTATGAGGGTTTCGAACCCTATTACTATGTTATACTAACTTATTTATGCAAACCGTTTATGAGGGTTTCAAACCCTATTACTATGCTATACTAAAAACAGACAGCAGAAGAAAAAGAAAAATAAAAAGGTACAGAGTTTTTTTCATAACATCTTCCTCAGCTCAAAGAGTGAGCTCCTGCGAACTCACCACCATTCTCCGAATTTCCTCCTCTTTCAACCTTCTTGCTTCTGCCAACATCGCCCCAAAAAAATTTTCCTCCAACATTCGTTCCAGCACTGAAATCGATATATGTTAAACTCGACGCATATACCACTCACCCTGCATGACAAACAACATGTATACTCACTTTGAAATTTTCTACACTAAGACTACCTTGAAGGCTGGGAGTCATTCAGCCAACTCCTTCCATGCTTCATCACCCATTCCTTTTTAAACAACAAGCTTCCTACTTTATAGTAGGTCTCCAATATCTCAGCTGTCGATTGGGTCCTTGAATTCAAGTCTTCGATGTCACTACACATGTTACTTAGTTTTTCACTCCAGGTTTCTTCAGCAGCTTCAATAGGCATTGAAGTTTGGTCCCTATGGGGTAGTCTAAGTCTTGGAGATACAGAGCCAAATGGTCATGGATTTGCTGAGCTTTGGTCCTTCTTTCCATTCTCTCAAACCTTTCGTGAATCTTATGGTCCTGATATCGAAAGATCACTTCCTCTTCTTGACTTCCAGTTCTTCATCGGGTTCCATTCAGTCTACAAGTTGTTAAATTGTTTTTCTTAAAGTTTCAAAACATCATTTTATTCCCCTTTTCTCTCTTTCTTTTTTTTTTTTTTTTTTTTTTTTTTTTTTTTTTTTTTTTTTTTTTTTTTTTTTTTTTTTTAAAAAAATTTTTTTTTTTTTTTTTTTTTTTTTTTTTTTTTTTTTTTTTTTTTTTTTTTTTTTTCAGGTTTAAAGAGTGATGTCTATAGCTCGTGATCTTTTATTAAGACTTACAACCTACAAATATTGTAGGGGGGTATTACATTTTGCATATCAATGAGGCTACAATTAGCCACTCGTACAACTTTAGTCATTGTCTATTTAAAGGTTCCGCCTACAGGTTACCTACTAATTGCTATACCTGAAACCCACCTGTGGGTTCCCTATTTAAAGTCTCTGATTTTCAATATTTTTTCTGTAGTACCAACTTAATTTTTTTTAATAACGGACCTTAGGGCTACTTTACCCTCGACGCAAACTCTACTGAATGGAAGTAGATCCCACGACTACACCTATTTGTATTTATGATGCCAGAGGTGATTCTATATTAGGTAAGGCCAATCCTTTCCACAAACGTTGATAACATTCTCCACATTTCTCACTATAGTAGTGCCCACGCTCTGCCATACCAGTTTCCTTCTGGGAATTCCTTAGATCAAACATGTACCTTCACTTGGATTTTCACAGGGCTTCACATCCGATTATAGGCTCCATTTTTGGTTATAGAGTATTTTTACCTCCAGCCAGACTCGAACCGTTGTTCTTGTCTGTAAGGGGATAAGAGCTTAACAAGTAAGCTATGGGACCCAACCCCTTTTTGTTATTCTACTTGTTTTTACTATGATTTTTAACTTTAATTATTTCTATCTTAATGTTTTTGCAAAAGAATCTGCTTTGTCATTCTACTTGTTTTTACTATAACTTTTAACTTTAATTATTTCTAACTTAATATTTTTGCACTTAATTAGACCTACAATGTTTATTATCCACATTGCATTTTTCTTCTTCAGAGTTCTTCTCTCTTCTACATTTTGAAGTGCCCTATTAATGTTCCTTAATGCTGTAATGCTGTTTGTAAACACTTTTATACTTTTTTTTTCTGGCACTGTTAGGATTGCTGTTCATATTGCTGCTAGTTCTGCTATTGTTGCTGAAGGCTAATCTTCCAGTCCCAATACAGTTTTCTTCTCTGGCCAATCTTTTTCCTCTTCTACTTGTACTTAACCAATACCTATTTTTTCTGTATTGCTTTTTTCTTTCTTTTTATATACTGCTTCATTAGTATAAAAATTGTATTTTCTCTTGTCTCTCTTCTTGTTTTGTGTCAATATCTCTATTAACTAATTTGTAATTCTGCTATCAAATTCTTGTTTTTTGATCAGTTCTACTTCTAATTCTTCTGTTTGTCTTATTTCTAATAATTTCATTTTATTCTTCTATTATTCTATCTTCTAGTATCTGCTTTAACATTGCATTTATCTTATTGTTAGCTTTTTTTATTAGCAATCTTAGTATTACTTTCATGTTATGATCTCGTTTTATTCATCTTTCACACTTGTTTGTCATTTGTTCTAAACTGTTTTCACAATCTTTGCATATACTTAATTCTGCCAATATTCTTTCTTCTTTTATATGCATTGACCAATGCTCTGTCAACACTTTTTTTTTTTTTTTTTTAATTACTTTGTCCAACTGCTAATTGTATTTTGGTCTGTGAATGTTTTATTTTTTTTTCTTCAGTTTTTAGTTATTTTTGTCTACTTAATCTTTAATGCTTGTGTATTGTATCTTCTTACTTTGTAGTAGTCTTATATTTCTCTGTTCATTTGTGTTCTTAGCATTTTTTTTTCTATTTCACTAAACCATTTAGCTTTTTTTTCTATGTATAATAGATCTTAAAGACTCTTGAGCTATCTCTATGTAATCAGGTTATTACCTTTCATATCTATAAGTTGGTTCAAGTATAGTAACCTTCATTCATTTATTGTACTACTGCTTGCTATCCATGTTTTTGTTTCTAGCATGTCTCTTTTTTCATTTATCATATTCGTAAACTTTCTATAAGGGTCTTTCTGCTCTGATGTTTATACACATTTCTTTTGCTTTAGCTATTGTTCAACAGACAAAATTGTTTTTCCAAAACTTCTTAACTTCTATTTCTTTTTTATTGTCTCAAATGTCTTCTGTTAAGCCTGCTTTTTGGCATTCTTAAGCTATCCTAAGTCATGTTAATTTGTTCAAACTATTCTGTCTATTGAGTCTTGAGAAGAGACTACTTATTTGCTTAGTTATTATTTCTTGGCTTAGTGTTTTGCAATTACCTAAGTCTTTGTGCTTAATTGTGCAGTTGTTTAATATTCTTATAATATTGCACTTATGTTTAGCTAAGCATATTAATAGTTAATGTATTTTATCAATCATTCTTTCTAATATTTTTGTTAGCTGTAAGAGATATTCTAGCTTAGGAATTATTACTGTATTGTTTATATATGCAATTTGGCTCATCGTCATCTTTTTGTATCTCAGATCTTTAACTGTTTAACTAAAAATTCCTTTTGCTTTCTTACAGACTAGTGCTTTTCTCATTCTGCTATTTAGCCATATTCCTAGTAATCTTACAATTTTGGTTTTGGATTCTTCTATTATTTTACTATAGCTGAATGTAATTTCTTTTTCTTCTTCTCTTGTTTTTGTGTTCATTACTATGAGCTTTGATTTGGATCTGTTTATTTCAATATTATTTGCTTTAAAGAACTCTTCTGTAATGCTTAGAATTTTTAATATTTGTTCTTTGCTGTTTGCAATCTATGTTGTATCATCAGTATATACAATTGCTGCTTATCTATAACTTGTAATATTATTATTGCATGCTTTTTTTGTTATTTTTTGTTCTACTATATAGTCTAATGTTTTATTTTTTTGTATCCTTTCTAATAATGGATCATAGAAAAATCACCAAATTAGTAGTAAGATCACCTTTTCTTGATCTATTTCATCTTCTGCTGTTATTTCTTTTATTAAACTATAAGCTGTAATAACTTTGAGTTTTCATTTATAAAATAAATTGCTTATGTATTTTTTTGTTTTTTGTAAAATTTTGACTCTTTTTAAGGCTCATTCTAGGCTTTCTAATGGAACTAAGTCAAATGCCTTTTTCATATCTTGTAACAGTATTCATACTTCTTTATTCTTTTCTTGTGCCTCTTCTATTATCATGTTTAATATATGTATCAGTTACTCTATTGAGTTTCTTGGCAGATCTGCAAAATTCAGTCCTTTGAGTATATTTTTTTCTGTAAACACTCTGGCCAATCTTTTAGTCACTATTTCATGACAATTTTCCTAAAGGTTTCAATCAATGCTATTGGCCTAATATTGTTTAAGCAGTAACCTTAGTTTACATCTTTTAGGATTGAATATATTTGTGTAATTTTCTACTTCTTTGATATGTCTTCTTTTTTCAGAATTAGATTCACAAAGGCTCTAAAAATCCTTTGTAATTTCTTCTTTGCATGTTTTATTAATATGTAGCTTATGCCTGATATTCTTAAAGCTATATTTGCTTTAAGCTCTCTGAGTATTTCTTTTCATTCTTTTTCTTTTATTCTTTTTTCTAATTTCTTATACTAGGTCTCATTGATCTAATCTTTTGGGTTATATATTTTTTTTTATTCTTTTGTTATTTCTTCAAGTTTGGTTTTTTATTTTCTAAATTGGTTTTTAAAATGAGCTGCCAAACCATTTAAAACTATGTTTGGTTCTAATATTAGATCAATCTTTTCTTTGTCTTGTATTATAAATTTGTTAAAACAATCTTTTTGTATAGTTTATTTAGTAAGCTGACAATTATTTGACCTTGATCTGTCTTGATTATTTCACATCTTCTATTTATGTTTTCTTCTATCTGTTTTCTTTATGCTTGTTTTTATTCTTCTTTTCTTTTCTCTTTAAATATTTTTTGCCAATCTTTCATATCATCTATCTAGACTTTTGACTACTGTCTATGTAGTTTTGGCAATGTTACTCCTAGCTCTTTCTCTATACTTTGAATTTTGTTGTTTATTTTAACTCCTTCATTCTTTTTTATTTCTTAATTCTTCTTACTTCTTGCTTTTTTGATTATTTGCTGGAGTTCAATAATGTATTTGTGTTTCTTTGTTCTTTTCTGGTTTAGTCTTTTATTTAGCTTAGTGTTAAATATTTTCTTCTTTGGGATTTGCTTGTTTGCCATTTTAATTATAGTATCTTCTATTGCATTCTACATTTGGTCCAGTATCTTCATACTATATTCTGTTTTTATGTTATTATCTTCTAATCATTTTAATACTCTTTTTTATTCTAGCTAATTTTGTAGCTCTCTTGTATAGTCTTTCCAGTCTTTTTGTTTTGCTTCTTCATATAGATATATTGTTCTTGTTTGGTTTCTCTGTTTAATTTCTGCTCTACTGCTGTTTGCGATTATATGTTCTACTTATATTTCTGTTATGATCACTGTCTGTCAAACCTTCTGCTTCTTTAATATTAGCTTCTTGTAGACCTGATGCTAGTATTTCTGTCAACCAAATATAATCTATTCTTGTTGCAATCTCCTGACTTACTATGTATATGCTTCTTTTGTCAGATGCAGGTTTCTGTATGAGTCTATGAAGTTTTGTTTTCTAAGCTAGCTAAATATTAGTAGTTTTTAGTAGTTTAATGTTTGTAGATGTTGTCTGTCTAATATGTTATCTACTGTATAATTAAAATCTCTTAGTACAACTATTTCTATATATCTTTTCCTGTTTGTTACTATCTTTACAATTTTTTGCTAAATTTTCTTGCTAATT